CATTATACGGTGTCTGAACCTGCGCCCTTTCCACTGTAGATTGGGATAAAAGTACCCCCTGAAGAGCCCTGATGAGATCATCTGAGAAGCGTATGTAAGAGCAGACAGGCCTCCTGCCAGGTGCATCGAACGTGCGCCGGACACCTCTCTTCCTGAAGCTAGTTTTACAGACGATAAAGCTAGCGACACCACACGCCAGCTTGCTCTGGAACACCCCCCTCTTCTGTCTACAGGCCATTTCTAAATGCTGGAGGCTCAAACCCAACTGCTCCCAGCAGTGAAAAGCAAAGAGCCGATCCACGGCTCAGGAAAGCAAGCGCTCCTCTCTTCACTGGGCATGGTAGAAGTTGGGTTTGTTACTCCGTCGGCTTACAACAGGAAAGTTCTGATGATCCCGGTCTTAGGAAGACTTGGTTCTGCTAAATCAGGGTTGTCAAACTGGCGGCCCATGGGCTGCATGCGGCCCCCACGGTAATTTTTTGTGGCTCACGATGCTCTGAGATAAAATGAAAATAGAAAAAAATTGTTATGAAGAAAATAGCGTTTAGGGGAGATCGAGGCAAGATTGTCCATACAATTCCCTCGATATATTTTAGTTCAGAGCATCGTGAGCCACAAAAAATTACCTGGGGCCACCAGCTTGACAGCCCTGTGCTGAATCATTCCTCGCTTGGTTCTGATGTTAATCTCAGGGCAGGGATTGTGGGGCGCATGGGAGGTCTTTGCCTGGTGCCCGCGCACACTGGCAGGGAGCGTCAGACAGTGCTAGAGGCCGGATCTCCGAATCTCCGATGCAGCCTCACGTCAGAGACAGGCAGGGTCTCAGGGCTCTCCAGGGACCTGGCTGACATACAGGCATGCTGCTCGGGGTTGGCCTTCTCAACGGGCATTCCGACCCCACAGCGCCAAGGTGAGGGTCAGTGGGCAGCCGTCAGACCCAGCCCAGCATGTGTTTTTCCCTTGTCATGTCCCATGTTGTTGCCATCGGCTTCTCCTTCCTGTCGATTTTGAGCAGTCTTGCCCAACCACGGTGCCACTCCCCTTTCCTTTTACCCCAGGACCCGACCCGTGTGCTTCTGCTCTCAGCCCTGATCCCCATGTCAATTTGCAATCCCACCTTGGAATCCAGCTGAAGCCACTCACTGCCTTTCAACCTGCGACACAGGGCAGCTTCCCAGCCCTGAGGAGCCAGGGAAATTGCTTTCAAGCATTCTGGCCCCTGACCTTGGGAGAAGGGGAGGGCACAGGTTGTAGTTCATCTCAGGACACTCTCGGTAGTTCCCCCGCAAGAAAAAAAGCGCCTTGGCTTTGAATTCTGTTTGGCTGCCCTTCCCGCCCCATCCTTGGAGCCATTCTGTTGCTGACCTGAGGGAGGGGCTGTGTGTTCGCATGCACCACCTGAAGAGCCCTGGGGTGGTGGTTCTACAGCCCGTGGCCTCCCGGGCCATTGGGCTTCCCTTTATTTCCCACCTATTAGTAATGGGAAACTCCAGGGAAAAGGGGATGTCTGCGTGTGGTCCCACGACTATTTCTAGACTCCCCGTGGGGTCTGATGCTGATGTTCTGAACCCATGAGGGTCACTCAGGAGCTGTTAAAACTCCGAATGCCAGGACCGCACCCGAGCCTCCTCAGTCCGTGTAGGGCCGTGGGATCAGTCGTCAGTCTGGACAAAAAGCTGCTCAAGTGAGTCCCTGGTGCACAGATGTTCGGGAACCGCCATTCTGGAATGCCACCCCGGACCAAGGGAGGCTTTCATGACCATCTGTGCACAATCCAGGGCCCTTCTTGCCCTCTCAAGGAAGCCCAGGGTGCCACTTCGCGTGGAGGAGGAGTGGGTTATGAAGAAATGAGGGAGACAACACGGCCTGTTGCTTATAAATATAATTTATTACCTGTTTAAAAATCCTTTCTTACATTTTGTACATGTTGGCCGACAGAATAAATGCAGGCAATTTACAAACGAAGGGACTGCAGGAAAACCAGGAGAGGGAAACAGAGGCGAGGCCCACCCAGGGCTGGCATCCCCCAGCCCCGCCAGGCCGCCGGACAGCGAGCAGTGCTCAGAGCACGCTTCCCCCTCCAGGGATATCGTCGTAGAAAAGGAATTGCATAGAAGATACAGCAAGAAGTTACAACCAAAGAAGTGTTTCATACCTAAAAAGCCAAGGCTGGGCCATTTAAGAAGGACAGACAGAATGGCAGAGCGCAAGACCCCAATCCAACCTTCCTGCAGTTGAGCTGTCCCAGAGGAGCCACCTCTCCGACACAACTGTGGGGGCGGAGGTGGTTGTCTGTGACACACCTGGGTGTCCCCTTCAGAAAGCGAAGGGGAAGGTCACCGGCATGAAGCTCCATGTATGTGTGAGCACACAGAGCACGGTGGCATCCAACACGCCTGAGGAGGGACGTTCCCAGCAGTGGGGCTCAGCGGGTTCGGGGGCGAGGCGCTCCCTACCGACAGATGCAGGGCCTGGCTGAGAGCGAAGAGGGATTGCCCAAATCTCCCGTGGCGCTTGTCCTGCTCGCGGGCCTGGGTCACCCTACATGTACATACTGTCAGGAGTGACTTTAAGAGCATGGACGTCCCCAGGCATTTTCCAGTGGCAGTAATTTTCTTTTTATAGTTCAAAACGAGGCTCTCTTCAGGCCTCAATCTTAGCTAGGTCATGACCTTGGCAGTGTCTCACCACCGTGCTTGGAGGACAAGGGCTGGTCAGCTGTGGGCTGCTGGTCAGCATAGCGCAGCCACTTCCAGTGGTGGCCTATGGTCCAGGGATTCTGCAAACCCACGTCGGTAGCACCGTGACGGTGAGGGCCAAGCCACTTGAGGAGGACATGGAGCATGTAGACTGATTTGAAAGGGACCCTGACGTGTTGGGACGTCCAGTCATCAAAAATGGTGATGAGGCACACATCTGAAATGGCCTATTAGGGAGCTGGTGAACACTCACAAGTACTTTGGCTGGTGCAGCGCTGACGGTGTCAGCCTAGCATCTATGTTTTCTCCTCAATAGTGCAGTCCAACTCTCAGGTGTACTGCAGGGAGTCCTCGGCTCTCGGCTGTATCCCCAAGGATACCAGGCCCTTAGTATACAGAGGGCGGGGAAATGGCCCCTTAAACTGGTTGTAATCGGTAGCACATATGGAGAACCTGTAGGTTTGTCTTGGAGATGCCTTCTTCCACAACGCTAAAAGAGAGTTGGTTGAGGGAGCCCAGTGAGCTCCTGCCACGGGTCAATATGGGGATATGGCAGGCCTACTGGAAAACCTGGGCATCAGACCGCTAACCTGTTTTAAAGTGGGCTATCTGCAAATAGGGCAAGCACAAGGCCAGTGAGATGAAAGGATTAGGAGGTTGACTGTTGAATTGAGTCTGTAGAGAAAAGTTGCCCAATGGCATAGAAGGCCGTTGTCCTACTTTTCAAAAATAGAAGGTTTTCAGGCCAGAATCCTTGAAATATTTATGACTTCATTTTACTTAGTTGGCCTGTATGGATAAGAGGCTTAAATGGACATTAGTCACAATATATTTATTCCCCTTAAGCCTTATTCTGTTTAAAACAAATTAAATACAAAGGAAATCTTTCTAAGTGATCGTTACAGCCAGAGACTATAGAAATAGATTTCTTAGCGTAGAGAAACAGCACTTCATCACACCGAGCAAAAAGTTCTAAGCATTTCAGTCAACAGTAGCTGTGTACAGTTAGATAAAAACAATGCAAAACAAAAACTCGACAAAGATTCAAAGTGATAGCTGAATCGACGAGGCACTCGAAAGGTAGAAAAATGTTTTATTATCTCAAGATATTCAATATAAAGAGACTCTTGTTTGGGGGATCTACAAAATCTAATGCCCATCAACCATGATCATTTTTAGAACAGCTGGTTTTGAGCAACCAAATTCTGATTCACAAAGGCTCCTCCGTTCCCAAAGGGCATGGATGAAACCCAGTTTCATTTCAGCTGTGTTCCCATGGCCATCCTCACATCGGCCTTAGACATGCTCAAGTTCTCCACAAAACAGCTACTTTGTGTAGAACAACTGCCCAGAGTTAAGACTCGTATTCAACTCAGTGACGGAAAACTCGATACAGGAACCCGTTCTAACTTCTTTCTACTCTCGTGTAGCTTCTTTGTTTGGTTCCATGCTTGGGTCCGTGGGCATCAACCTTAGGTCATGGCTTATGCACAGTGGGGAGAGATGCTCAATCTCTTGCCAGAACTGCGATTACAGAGGCATCAATAGACCCAGACCAGAGCTGGTGGGCCCCAACAGATCACACGTAAGGATCCAGAAGACAAGAACCTTGTTTTTCTCTAGAAGTCTTGATTCCTCCCCCTACCTGCTTTCTTTCACACTATCCTACTTAGACAAGCCCGGCTCTAAAGAAATGCTCTGCACCGAGGGTGACCTCCTCTGTGTCCTGGACAAAGCCACCATGACTTAGTTTTCCTAATGAATGACTTTCAGCGAGAGAAATGACAAACTAGTGAAATATCTGGACATAGATCATGGATGTGCAGTTTAATACTGAGCGCTCACCCAAAGAAGGGCCTAGCCCTTCAAGACTGTGAACAGCTCCAATGAGGAGAGTTGCCTGTTGGCATCCACTGGAAGAGTCTGCTTGTGAGATGCTGTTTTACACGTACATGTTGTCATCACCTTGCACCTACCTAGTGAATAATTCTGAAAGCAAACGTTTCTTTGCAGATCACTGTAAGGAAGTTTGGTGTGCAGTCAGAGGAAAATGAAAAGATGAAATTTCTGCCTTTAGATCAACAAATTTAGAAGGAAGGAAACATTCTTTTACACAATGAATGATCCCAGGGTCTCTTCCTTTAGCATAACCGCGGAACCACTGCCCATGGGTTAGACACAACCCATCCCTGCTGCCATGACATCAATTTTGACTTGAAGACACCCCAAGGGACTGCTCCTGCGGGTTTCTGAAGCTGTCGTCTCCACAGGAGGGCAGACAGCCTCATCTCTCGCCCTCGGAGTAGTTGGTGAGTTCGAACCACCAGCCTTGTGGCTAGCAACCCAACACTTAATCCACAGCATCACCAGGGCTTCATAGACAATGTATTCCCATTTGTGGATGTCAAATCTAGCGCTTCCTAAGTATGACTCACATTTTCGAAGATCAATATTAGGAGTTTAAAAATAGGATATTCAAAACCTACCAAACACAACGCAGAAGCCTGGCCTTAAAAGTAACCCTTCATTGTAAAGTTGATTACGGCAGCTAGAGTTAGGGTAGGGGAGGAAGACGGGCCTTCTGCTCACTCGCACAGTCTCAGAAACGCACCAGGGCAGTTCTGTCCCAGCGACTCGGTGGCAGTGGGTTTGGCTTTAGTCAGGGTAAAAGAGCATGCCTTATCATTTTATCACCCTTTTGACTCATTTGAAACTTGTATCCATTTTTAATATTTTCTGCTTTCTGTTTTATTGAGGTTTTTCCATGTGGGGCCTAGCCATTGCTGTTGGCTTTGATTGTTTCCTGTTTGCGTGTTGTATGCTTTTCCGTATATGAAGCCCAGGGCCGGTAAATGTACTGCGACAGTAACTGGATGAACAGTTGGCAACAAAGGGGCAGAGCCGGGGAGGCGGTGGGCAGTGCTAGCAGTGAGTATGGGAAAGAAGAAAGCGTTCTGAAATTGATTGTGGAGATGGTCACTCACTCAGCCTTTCTCTATAGGACTGATGATTCGATTGTATGGCATGTGAAGTATATGCCAAGAAAACTTTTGAAAAGTAATAATCGGGCATTATATACATTTTTAATATATTTATTCCTTTCTACGATCAGAAAACAACTTAAAATGGCATGTTTATAAGGAGCACTAGACTTAGAAGGAAATGGCATTTGAGATGGGTACTTTAAGGGGTAAAAAATGTGCGAACAAGAAACCACGTCTGAAAGGAACAATTCTGCACGTCCTCCTGAATGTCATGAAAGTCCTCAACTCTAGGAACTCCCTTGGTCAGACAACTTCTGGGAGCTTTCATTGAATTAAACAGGGTAGCTTGCGCTTCGCACCACGAGGTGGCACCATACACAAGTGCTTCCTTTTGCCCATCCAAGTGATCACCGCCAGGAGGCTGAAGGGAAGTCCCGGGGCAGGAATGTAGCGGGTCCCTAGGAAACTAGCTGTGAGACCTTCTTGGTTTGATACTAGTTTACCCCAACGGAGAGAGAAAGCAGAATTCATAGTCAAAAGGATTTGGTGTAAGTAGTGTGATGTCTGTCTAAAAGGGCTATTCACCTGATAGGATATGTCACAAAGATCATACGTAGGACCCAGGGGCACCTTACTTATAAAGAAGCACTCTGCCCTTTTCTGCTGGTTGGACCAAAGGCCAACAAACCTCAGTGCAAGAACAGCCCTAGAAGGCCTTCAACGGGGTCCAGTTCCTGCACCCAATGCTTCCCTGTTGACGACCTTTCCTTGATTGATTTGTTTTCCTTAACAAACGCCTTGCCTAGAATGATCAGGAGCCACTGCACAGCTCCTTCCCGCTCCTTTTTAACAGGCACTGGGTGCGTCTCTGGTGCGTCTTTTGTTCTGGATTCTGATCAATGACAGCCTCTCTACTCCGGTACCGGGCAGCAATCTTAGCAAGTTTAGATTTAGTTCAAGATACAGCCGTAGACTACAGCTTTCTCTCCTCCTTTTAACCTCCTTAATTATCTTACTTTTTTCTTTCTTTCATGCATTGGTACAAATAGTAACCACTGAATTTGCATAGGAGGGTAGTCTCCCTTCCACAACCAATGTAAGAGATCTTTCTTGTTCTGGAAATCCTAATACAGAGACATCGTGAAGGGTATGTGCTTACCACTCCAGACACCCACATTCATGGCCGTGAGTCCAGGACAGCTCAGGGCGACCCTGGCGGACAGGGCAGAACTGCCCCTGTGGGTTCCCCAGACGGTGCCTCTTTATGGGAGTAGAAAGCTCTGACTTTCTCCTGGTGTTTTGCACGGAAGGTAAGAAAAATGAAAGGCATGAATTAAGAGGCTCCACAACAGACAGCTCCTTGAGGATGAGGGAAGAGGAGGCTGGGGAATCTCAAAAAGTCACTGCACCAGGCAGGCGAGGAAATGTGTACGGCCAGAAGGCGGAGAAGTGAATGAACCAAGTCTTCATTCAGACTGAGGCAGGGGTCTCGGGCCTGCCCGGGCAAAAGCAAAGCCACAGCTCTGGTTTGAAGGCTCTGATTCATACCCAATAGCACTTGTTGTTCAGTCTCTGGCTCCTGGGCTGACGTGGACGCTCATTCTCCACCTGCTGAATGAAGTGCGCCCCTGTGTTAACACAAGGAGCTTGTAATGGTCCCAAAGGGCACTCCTGGCTGACACCCAGTAGTCTATTTACAACCATTTTGCAGGAGTCAGAATTGTGTGACTGAGTGCAGGAAATGACCTCCGAAAGTGAGATGGAATGTCACGCGGGCACAGGCGGAGAGAGGAGGAAGAGGAAGGTGTCCCAGGTCTGCTGCTGCAGGAGCCGGCTGGAGCGGCCTTGCAAAGGCAAGAGGCCAAGACAACGACACAACCGTGCTTGCTGGAAGTCAGCAAGGCTGGTGGTCCTATGAGACCACCAGGAAATAGTAGTGAAAGAAAGGATGCGTGTAACCACACACGAACAAGACGAATGCCAAAGCGCTATGTTACAGGGTGGGACAATGATCTTCCAGGCCAGAGCAACTGAAGATCGGAAGTTGGGGGTAGGAAGCACAAAAACAAAACAAAACACCAAAAATCCCCAGTGGGTTGTTTAAATTACTCCGGCTACAGCTAACCAGAGTCTTCAGACTAATGAGAGAGACCAGAGGCATCACAAGTTTTTAGAACCTTTCCAAGCCCCTCCCTTTGCAGGTGAGGAAAGGGCCATCCTCTGCGGTGGTGTGACTTGCCCGACTGGACAAGCCCCGAAGGGAAACGGCCTTCCAGACTGCCAGTCCGGAGGCCAGGCTTGCCATCATCTCGCCTCCAAAGTAGACAGAACACCGGGGGCGTACATGGAGGCCCACACAACGCTATGTTGTTACATGAACAGAGAAGGCGTCTCATTGTAAGACTCGGGCCAAAGGCTGCCAGAGTGCGCTGAAATAAACTCAAAAAGCCGGTAAGCCTTCACTCCCCTTCCAGGGCAGCATGGCGGGAGGAAGGTGAAAGGTCAAGAACGCAATGCCTGTACACCCTCACTTGTCGTCCGAGAAAGTGAGGCAGGGCTCATCAGCAGATACTAACAGCACTGGTAACCAACACAGCATTTAAAGAAAAATCTTTTTACTAGAATAACTTGTAAAGACTAATTGATAACAAAAACAATAATGGTAGTGATAAGGATACTTTTAAAAAACCACTTCAAATTGCATATTACAAACACACATGTTGTGAAGAAATGCTTGTGTGTGTGGCTGAGAATGAGTGACGGTCTTCCCTACAAGACGACAACTTTATTCTTCGAAGGGCACCACCAGGATGTCCCCGAGGAATAAGGAGTCTTGGTGACTTCTCCATCACGCTCCACTTTCCACTTCCCTGACACCAACGGGAACACCGGTTCTACGGCTTCTAGAAACAGGACACTGAATGGAGGATTATCAGAGACATTTCATGGGTGCAAGATTGGGAGCAAAAGTCTGATTTCTCTGGAAATGACGCGTGTGAAATAGACACAACAAACCGTCCACAGCTTCAACTTCAAACGATCTGAACAAAAATAGAACGAGCCATGGACAGTGTCTGCATCCCTGTCCAATTTGATGTAAACAACGTTTGTAGAAATTGGGTTTGTTAAGAAAGTTTATCCATATATCTGGATAGCAATAAAAAGCGTTTCCTAGGAAACTGTAAGATCCTGTACCACACAGCATACAGCCCAACTACAAGGAAAATGAGGTTGGTTTCTAATTCAAGGTACAAATGTACGCCATCGTGAACTCCCGTGGTGCTGTCCGCGTCAGTGGGCATGGAGATTGGTAGTTGTCTGCTTTCCTTCTTGTTCCGCTGCGATCTTGCCTGTGGAGCTCATTGGTCTAAGTCTGGACTGCCACCTCCGCTGGGACCTCTGGACAGCGACACACTCCCTCGTTGTTCCGTCCTTCCTCTTCAGAGCCGGCGTGGGTCAGTACTGCCCTTCCGCTGCCAACGACACGACTGTTTCATGTCTCCCCATTTCTTCCAAGACAGCGGCCAGCATGCTCAGGTTGCCATCAGGGAAGTTCTGTGCTTCCCAGAGATCCAGGATCACGCCAGTCGGGCTTGATTTAGTGGCAAAGTAATTCAAGTACCTGCAGTTGGGGAGAGCAAAGGGGCTGAGTGGCAGGGTTGAACTACTTTCTCTTCTGCTGCGACTGGTTTAAGACTTGCTGCCTTTCCACTTGGCCTTGAAGTACCCTAATCCCACATGAAAAACAGTGGCTTGCAGCGAGCTGTCCTAAATAACTAACCCATATTTAATTAGATCAGCCCCAGACAGGAGACGTGATGGTTAAACTTTGTTAACCTCAACTCTGAATAAGATCACTGAAGAGACAAGATGTCTATGGGTCATAGCCCAAACAGGAAATCACGAGACTTAGGTTTTCTTTCCAGCCCAGACATTGATGTTCTTTGACAGGTCAATGCCATGCCTTTGGTGGGGCAGTGATGGCTACGCTCTGCAGATCAGACACCCCTGAGCTCTTTTGCAATGGATTGCCAGTACTGAATTTAGCGTATTATTCACTGTGCAAGCCTTATATCTTGCACAACAGGAAATGAGAACAACGATGCCTTTGCTGCTGCTGCTATTGCTGTTGTTTTTGGTGCCACCTGACTCACAGTGGCCCCAGGTGATGGAGTAGAATCTTCCCAGAGGGTTTCCTAAACTCTCTGTGGGGGTGAATCACCAGGGCTTTCCCCCAGGTAGCCACTGGATGGCTTGACCTTTCAGTTAGTGGCTCAGAGCTTAAACCACCACACCACCAGGGTTCTTTAATTACATTAATGAATGAATCTGATATGTAGGGAGATGTAGCCCCTCAGCTCTGCAGCATGCTTCAGCAAACCTGACACTTCTAAAGGCCAAATGAAGCCCAGTTCCAATCGCAGACAAGTTCATGGCCCCTTCCACCCTGCCATAGGTGCAGAGAATGTTCCATGCTTCAGAAGATCCCTAGGAAGTGCCTCTGGGTGGTTTTGAACCGCCAAACTCCCAGTTAGTAGGCAAGTACCTAACCATTTCGATCACCCAGGGACTCCTAGAGAATTCAATACTATGCTGGCACCTGGCTGTTAGTGCAAGAGTTGCCAATCTGGGAGCCTTGTGTCTTACAGAAAGTGAACCTCGAACCTAGTCCTACCCACCTGTCCAGGTTTAGCTTGTGGGCCAGCATCCTCCAGTCATGCCCTCTGGTCTGTGGGGCATCCAGGCTGCTACAGAGCTTCTGGCGGATAGGGAGAGGGATGCTGAACGCACTGGGGCCGGTGATGGTGGTGATGGTGCTTGCTGGATCCAGCAGAGGCAAATCGATGCCAGTGGGTTCCTGGAGTTCAGCGACAAGAACAACACGGCATTATTTCTGAGCACAAAAACCATCCCTGTTGAACCAATGGGCATAATGCTTTGCTTTGAGTGATAAGAAGAGAATGAATGCTATTATTCTCCTTCGCAAGAACGACTTCTTCCTGGCCGGGAAGTTGCAATTTCTGAGATGGAACCTTGCTGAGAGGAAGAGGCAGAGTTTGAGCTGACTGGGCATAGCCTTTGGATTGATGAGCCTTGGACTAGGGGCTGGGCTGGATGGAAAGCTCTAGTGAGGCTCACTCACAGCTTCCTAATGGGATTGGCCAGGCTGAAAGAGAGGACAGAAAACAGCCGTGTTCCTCAAGGTTAGGATTTCAGGTGGGGAGAAAATGTTTACAAAGGGCAGTTGTTTGAGAGTAGACGAAGGAAATCTAAGATTAGACACTTTCTCCTGGAAACTGGCCTAGGGGGGACTGCCCTGAGCAAACCTGGGCCCATCCCTCACCCTCTACCTCCCCCACCCAAGATGGCTTGGCACTGCTTTTGTTGAGTGAAATGGAACACAGATCTCCCCTAAATGAAATCAAATTAAGACTAATTTTTTTTAAAGAAGAAAACGATAAACACTAGATGCTGCTAAGGGCAAACCATTAATGACATCCTCTAATCGCCGCACCTATTTTCTGTAAAAATCTAATTTTAGCAGGGAAAACCATACATTGGCTTTTAAAACAGTTTCAGCTCATAAAACAGAAAAAATGCAGAATCTGAATTTCATCTGCTGAAAAGGAAAAAACAAAAACAAAACCCAACTCTAATCATTTTCTGATCATTTCTGTGGCCTGGGAGCTAGTAAAACACCAACAGCAATCGGCTGGTAGTGTCCTCTCTCCCCCCATTTCAAGCAGGTAACTTCTGGGTGTGCAGAAGTAAGGGCGGGAGGACAAACTAGTCACATACACGTACAGGCACCGCAAAATCTAGGGGTCTTGGCGAGTGCTCAGGTGAGGGGGTCAGTACCCGCATTGCCCAGAGACCCCCAAGGCATTGCTGCAGTGACCTCTAGAGCAACTGGAGCATAGACGACACTAGGAGGGGGCAGACCCTGGGACATTTGCCCAGGCTTCTGTCCCTGTGACCCAGAGCGTGTTCTTTTTACAATCAACAGCCAACACTCACGTCCAGGACTGTGTCAGCCACTACAAAGAGGCCATTTGGGCTACAAGGGCATTTCTGAGCAAAACTTTTTTTCCCCCTCTTGGCCATAATTTTCAGAGTGGTATTGTCTGTGATCACACTATCTGTTTTCAAATCCCAAAGCTTGGCACACTGAGCCCCTGAAGATTCCAGTGGCTCCTTACAGATGGTGGAGGGAAACACAGGAGCAATACAGGGGACCTGGAGTCTCTGGATGAGGATCTGATACCATGCCCTAACCCCTGATCAGGCACAAAGCTCTTTCCAGAGAATCAGGAGGAGAGCTGAGAAGGTCCCTGACCTCTGAGACCATGTGTTGATTTATCAGAGTTCTGCGTAAGTGGTCTGGATATAGGTGTCCTAATGATAATAGGCATAAAAAATGATGTACGTATTAGTTGGGGCTGGAGGTGAAATTCAGTGTTACTTCCTTCAGTGCATGGCCCACCACGAGGTCCTGCTTGCTTCTTGTCTGGACAATTATAATAGAACCCTGGAAGAAAACATCCCCCAGTAAAACACTACAGTGGTCTTCTTTTCCAGTTGGTGGAAGATGCACAAGCACAGAAAGCGCTCTGCTCATTGTAGCTCTGGTGCACGGCCCCTAGGACTCTTCTTCCTTTTGACCACCACTCTAGATGGCTTAGATCTGATCGGCTTGACAGTCTGTGCCAGGCTCACCCTCCTGAAGCACAGCACTGGGTTCTTGCTCTTCTTGCTAGTCTGTTGTCTCCAAGACAGAGAGACTCCAGGCAAGACGCTGTGCATGTGTAGACCGACACTCACAGCGCTTTTGTGATGGCAAATGGCTGATTATTTTAAGGAGGGAGTGCCTCCCGGTGCTGCCGTTCCCCTGACAGATCTGTCCTGCATTTCACTAAGTGAGTTCAGTTCCAGACTTGATGTGTGACCAAAGGTCGGCGTGTCAGGAGTTCCTTTCTCTCCAGCCAGCAGAGCTCAGGAGTTGGAGGGTGGGAGCCTAAGGGTTCTGAGGCTGAAAAACTGTGCCCCACCCCACCTCCAAGTAATTTGAGAATGAACGAAGGCATGGCCACAACCAGCAAGCACAGGACGGCCCAGGGGGTAGTGCGCTGTTGTTGCGTGGTGCCAGCCGCCAGGGCATGGGTTCCAACTCAAGGTAACCAGGTGTGCCCAGCAGAATGGCTCCACTGCTTTTGCATGGCTGTCAACTTGCAGGAGTGCATGCCTGGGCCTGTCTTCTGAGCTGTCTCTGCCAATCTTTTGGCTGGTTGTGAACTGTGGAACTGTTGGTGTAAGCCAGAGGCTCCTGGGAAATGCTGTAGAACTGTGGGAACCAGGAGGGGAGGTCTGCTGGTTTGATAGCTTCGGCAGAGTTAGCTCAGGAGAACCTCACCGCACATGCCTTTTACACCAAGCCTTGAAACCTTCAGATAAGGAAAAGGAGTTACCATATATACTCGTGTATAAGCCGAGTTTTTCCAGCACATTTTGATGCTTTTTTTTT